TTTCTACTTAACGGCCACTATTAGTAGAGTGAGGGATGCATTGTGGGCTCATTCTACGCCTTTTGATAGCGCCTGGAGTGCGAACACTTATATGACTCTTAAGGTTAGTTCAAAGTGTAGAGCTCAAAGGCGATCATAAAAATCAAGGCCCTGTATGGGTAAAATAGTGTGAGCCATAGAGGACAGTTCTGTACCAGTTTCGCAGCAAGAGTTGCAGTTTAGGTTCGTCAGGGCTCAAGTCTGCTCGAGTGGCTTTTCCTGAGCATAAGTGACTCCGCTCCGCATCGGGGTCTGTTGCTGCGCTCGCTTCTATGCTCTCATTGATCTGGTTTTTCTCCCGGAGCCGATGCTCGCCTCTCGCTTGCATCTAGGAGGACCTCATCTAGTTCTGCTCTGTTCTTCCTCAACGGGTTGTTCAACTAGAGCATAAACTTTTCTTTCTCCCAGCCCCCCCCCCCCCCCCCCCGCCGTTGTCTACCAGCTAATCGCGAAATGTGTCTTTAGGTAAAAAGATGAATTACCTTGAAATAAACAAGACAGATTTTCTTCGCTGATTCGATACCAAGCACAGGGAAGAGGAACATCGGCAACAGCGATGTGGTTCCAATAGGTACCACTTCGACAATCCAATATGTACTCAATACAGCAATGCAGAATGCGCAACGAAATGGCTGAAAGTTAGTAATTGAGTTGGATCAAAAGGCCTCTGAAATTGAGCTGAAGCTCCATGGTCATCAGTAAAGTTGTGCACAGTTACCTTAGTTATCGATTATTTCATTGTACGTTATTGAGGCCACTTTTGTCTTGTCATTTTTTTCTCAGGAATTCTGTCTCTAACTGACCACATACCCTACTGGAGCGTGCGCTGACACAAGTACACTCCTCCCCCAAAGGAATGCACAGGTACGGTTATACAGTCCTTATCCTTGAGACGGAGTAGGCGTGGCGTCTGGACATGGCATAGGACGGGTTAGGGATATTTCCGCTTGAGACAACCGTCATCTTGTTCTGTGTTGGACAAAACTATGACCACAATTTGTCTCGAAATGAAAATATCTTTCCGAAACCACAATCACCGCCATGTTTAGTTGAAGTACGCAGCCACGCCTACCCATCTCAGGGATTCCGAGTGTATGTGCGTGTCGTGGTGGTTCAGTTTCGCCGTGGCGTCCCCAAGTGGATACTTGACCGTCCATTCCAGCACAGTACGCCTGGATCAGGGGATGTCTTGGCGTTGAGGAGTACCTTTTGCTGTATACGATCCCCTCCCTCAGAGTTTCTTCCCTAGTTCGACACTTCCAAGATCAAGAGATCAAGGTTTACAAACTATCTCGTAAAAATCGCAGTTGCCGTAGAAAGGACTGACGTACAAGTCCGAAGTAGAGAAGTGGTGAGAATAGCAGCGGAGCTCCAACGAGCCATGCCCAACGATGCTGTGGAGAGATAGCCATTACTGGTGGTTATCGCCTTAACCCTGAAAAACAGGAGATTCTCGAGTACAATATAAAGTATATCTAGTGAAATCACACCAGACAAGAGCAGTATGAAGAAGGAATAGAAGAAAGAGTGATCGTCATGAGGGAATTCATCTCAGGATTTGATCCCACGTCCATATGTTGCGCAGCGGGACTGCCTACGCTGCCCCGCATTCCTGTTGCCTGTAAGGCTGCGTTCATACTTTGCGGCAGCGTCCACCAACGTTCCAAGGGCCAGAGTAGCATAGTATCGATCGACCTAGCGTTTGCCAAACGCGCACACGAAGCGTCCGGAAAGGAGTGTATGGCGCAAAAGGAGAGTAGCAGACAGCTCTTCCCATACTGTCTACAGCAGTCTGCTAGCCTCGTACCTCTCCATATTCTACCAGCTGCTTGCTATCTTCTCTCCGGTCGTTGGTAGTCGCTAGTGCACGGGAGTACGACTGGTAGACGCTAGATTCGATTATCTGTATACATTCTACAGTCGCTGACGCTATCGGACGCCTCGGAACACGCTGAGCTATTCATAGCTAGTGGAGCTGCTGCAAAATTCAACGCAGACTAATGGTACCGTCGCAGTCCGTTGGCACGCGTCTGGAGTGCCCAGAATGAGCCCCTGACGGAGCTGTGTTCCTTACCAATATGTGGCCTTGAGATATGAACACCTAGTCACAAGCAGGTGAGCTCATTCCATATCCTTTTGACAACGCACCGACATCAGCTGTACATTAATCAGAGTGACTGAAAAGAAGAAAATGCTCTGAAAAGCACGTTTTTTGTGTGAATCTTTTATGCCAACGAGTGCAATTCGTCAGTAACAATTTTTAATGGGAAAAAAATTATTTATCTTGGCTACCAAGCAGGCTCCAAGCATCAAATAGCTCAATAGACAAGCGCGCCGCACGTAGTTCCACTTTTACAATTTTGTTCGCTAAGGTTTCTGAGCGCGTCAGGGGGCTGGGTCTGGCGCATCGCCAGCCCGTTCTCCACCAATTGCTGAACTGGGACAAGCAGCAACCACTGGTGGAAGACGGGTTGGCCCTCACCATAACCCCTCTGAAAGGTCCTAAGTATTCACATCGAACAAGACTGCAGCGTACGTGAAACAAAATAAATCGGAAGAAGTCAACAAGGAGAAGTTTCTCGCGCTTTGGAGGAATTTTTCTCAATATCTATTACTACCCCCCTGCGCCCTGACCTACACTGACCGAAGAGCGTCCCTCCCCTCAATGGATATTCCAAAGATCAACATGGCGCTCGAAAGGAAGAAAAAAATCTGCAGCTCAAAAAAAGCGTCAAACGCCCCCTCGATACGCCCATTGACCCCGCCACCTATATCAAAGGGGAGCACACCCATTTGATAGATTCACAATCCTATCAAAAGGGTCAAGACCTCCATCGACAGCTAGGTACGACCTTTTGATAGGATCCTGAAGCTGAAGCTGTAAAATGAAAGAGAGAGCTTCAGGGAGAAAGTAGTGAAAGGGGAGCATTCACAGATTGTGGAGAAGAAGTATTTTTTAGTCAATTTATTTAGAAGCTGATATTGCGTTCAATCAGCTGCTTATCATTGCCCTCTGTCGTCCCATTAATTTGTTAGTGTTACTATGGACAGGAGCTTTCTTATCGATTATTTGAGGCGATTATCTATGCCAAGTGACCCATCTGAGGGTTTCAAGGAGAGGAAGGAACTCAGTCGTCTGGTGGGATACGCCATGCATTTGGCCTGTATTATGAATCGCAAAAGTGCTCAGTAATGCATCGAACTTACGACATTTTCAAACGACTAGACCTCATATCACCCGAAAGTGGCTATGTGGGTCAACCGTTATTGAAAGCCGTTTGGGAATTGGGCATAAGCGACCCCAAGGAGTCAGGCTATGCCCATTCCCAAAACGTCCATGCCGTGTCAGTCAAAATTCACGTCAGTATTTCTGTAACCCCCAAGTTGGACCCCACATCGGAGAAATGGGTCACTCGAATGGTTGAATAGGAATTCGATCCAGTAGGCCTTAGAACTCTAACAAGGTAGCTTGTCCCTTCCTGATCGGAGCTAAAACCAGATAGGTTTGGTTTGGAACGCTCTTTGTGAAAGACTCAGTGTGCACGAGAAGCGTTAAGAGGACTGTAAAAAGGACGATTCAAAAAGCGAACGGCGAATTTTAAATTTATAAATTAAATTGTGGCAACAGTTATGTGAATAATTGAAGCTCTCAAAAGATGAGAATAAGTGAAGCTCTCAAAAGTGTTTAAACGGAGCTGAACACGTTTTGAAAACGGATCTGCCATCGGTTGTGCCGTAGTAGTAATCGGCCTGTAATCGGACGTAATCTGCGGATAACTCGGTAAATCCTTAGTACTTTTGAAACTAGTCTCCTATTTGGTAGGCAAGGACAAACCTTGTGGATAACTCTTTCTCCCCTTACTATAGCCAATAGCTAGTAGCTAGCAGCCATTGGGGGTTGGCATGAGCCTAAGGGGTGCTCATGGGCCTGAATGTCCAGCTTACACAGATTTCGTGTGAATTTTTCCAACGATTTTTGAATGTAAACATAGCTTCACGGTCACCTATGCGGACCATCTGACACGTTTGAGAGGTTATGGCAAATTATGCTAATAGCGGAACGTGCCTTAAGTGGTGGACGCGAACCAATGAATTAATGGGTCATTATTTTAGGCGCGCAGCGCCATGTAGCGCGGGAGTGATTCCCTCTTCCTCCCCTGAGCTCAGCCTTAGCAGAGCGAAGACGACCAGAGCTCCCCAGATCAGTTGCACTAAAAATCCTTCTCATAAGTCAAAATCAAGACGCCAAATAACTCCGGTATGCAAGCCTATCTGATTTTGATGAACAATATGTAAGCACCAAGTTTGTGCCCCAAAGACACCACAAAACGAAGCTGGGCTCAAAATGATGTCATGCTATTAATCAGGACATCGAATAACCCTGGTATGCATGTTCATACCCTTTTTGGTGAGAAAAAAGGTGGCGTCAAATGGCACCTCATCAGGAATGGATCAGAGCACAGAGCTATCCTCTATCGAAGAATTTTAGAAAAAAAAATGCCCTTGAGGTATTGGGGTACTCACAATTATGTTTGCCAATTTTATTATTTAGTCTGCAAAAATTAAAAAAAATCGAAGTTTTATTTGTGAGGCTAGATCCTATTTTGAAAAATGAGAGGGGCATGAGTGATAGAATGGAGGAAAGCCAATGCTGTCTCGTTCTGCTGTAGGCCACAGATTCGACTCCCTTTCAGATTAGTAGGGACCTTTGAATGGCTAATCGCCTACTCTGGTACCAAACTATCAATCCGAAAGGATCACCACAAGAAAATCTCAACTGGTTCGATCTGTCCGTACTACTTTATTTATTTATTTATTTACCGTACCGTATACTACCGTAATCAGAGGTGCAAATAAACGGCTATTGATCAGCCCGAATGACGGTGAGTTCAGAAGCAACCCCAGACACGAATAATAACGAATCCATAAAGGTTTCAAAAACTGCAGTGCAACTGATTGATGTGGGTAAGAAGTGTTATCAAGCACCCAAGAAACCATCCACATATCAAGGGTCAGTTGACAATCAGGCAAAGCAAATAATTAGCACGTAAAAACATCTGATTAGGGCCCTCAGCAACAAAAGGCGATCAAATCAGGGAACTTTGACCGGAAGGTCGCTTCTTTTCTGAAGTGAATGGAACTTGAAGTGACAGGCAACACCAATCCAAAAATTCAACGAGTGAAAAAATTTTGCAATAGAAAGAATTTTTGGTGTATATTCTATCTCGTATCTCTGTAGTATCTCAGGATATTCCCCTGCCCCTATTAGCTAAGCTTCCTCATGAGAGTCCCCTTTATGGGAATTAATGTCTTGCCTTAGATCATCCAGCTGGATCGACTTCGAATGATATCTAAAAGGTCCAAATTCAAAAAAGGCACGCTGTGTGCTCGTTCTTGAACCTCATTTCCCTGAGATGCGGTGGGCGTAGTTGCGCACTTCAATGGCATAGTATTTGTGGGACGCTTCAGCTCCAGACAACTGCAATCCTATCTTGTGTCGACAAAGACACGGCTGCCCTAAATTCCGCCCCTGTGACGTTCAAATGAAGTGAAACCACGCTAATGAAGCCACGCCTACCACATCTTATGGTTAGGGATGTGTACACCTGCACGGTGGACGGTCCGCAACGGTGAAAGAGTGCCTCTTTCGCTACTTTCAAAAGCGTGCCAGCCAAACGGGGAGGTAGTGGACAGCCGCTTGTTCATCCATAGCTACGCCTGCTATCCGCGACGTATGTCATGCCGCACGTGCGGCTTTGTTGCCAACACTGTCGCTGCGGGATCTGGAGCGACAAAGACCACGCAGCGAAAATGCTGGCACGCTGCCTTCTTACGCAGCCAATCCATGCCACTCCTCCTACTCTGTAATAACCCTGACTCTCGAACCTAAGATTCAAACCCCCCCCCCCAAGCGCGAGATTGCAGGATTCAAACAAGTATTCATTAGCTTAGTTACAAAATCAATGAGGCAATATTGACAATTATCATGCACTATTTGGACACGAACAATCAAAGACTCCTAACGCTTATAAATCACTTTTGATTATCGATCTCTCTTAGCACCGCAGGGATTTCATTGATCAAATCACCGGTTATCATCGACCTTCCAATCGATGAGTACGCTATTTTTGCACAGCGACGAACCAACTGATTAGCTGCCAAGCCGGCAGCCAGTTTTGCTTCATTCATAGAAGTCAATCTGAAAAGCACACGTATCAATGTACAGTACCTGTCGGTGAGTCAGGTAGAGGCATACCTACGTACATATATCAACTTAAGAGTTTAAGACGTCACGGATAGTCGAAGTACGCAGCCACGCCTACCAAATCTCGAAGATTTTGAGTGTACGTTTAGCGCGGCG